TGCACAAGCTTGAAAACCAAAGTTTTATTATTAAAAAAAACATGTTCTTAATGAAGAGTTTTTTGAGGGTGATGACAACAAGGTTCGTTTTTTACTGGACTCAGCAATTTTAAATTGCTTTCATTGGTGCTGAACCTTTGTTGTAAAGAAATTGACCATCCAAATTCCAAAAAATTAACTCCTTTTCAAGAGATGATAGTATGTTTGGTGAGACTTTGTATATATTTAAGTTTAAAAGATTTGGCTTACAGATTTAATATTTCAAAAGCAACAATATGCCGAATCTTTGGCAAGTGGCTGCACATTTTATACATCAGGTTAATTAAGCAGATTGATTGTTTGGACTGAGAGAGATGTGCTGCAAAAAACTATGCCCAAAGAATTTAAAAAATCTATTGGCAATAAGATTGCATTAATGATCAACTGTTTTGAGCTTTCTGTTGAGTGGCCTTCCATCACTAGATGCTCGCTATTTGACATGGTCCCAGCACCATAACATAATAAAATTTTTAATAGGTGTTACTCCTCAAGGTTCTGTGTCTTTTATATCAGAACCTTGGGGAGGAAGGGCTAGTGACAAGCACCTAACTGAATATTCAGTTTGTTTAAATATTTACTGTCTGGAGATTTAGTGCTAGCAGACAAAGGTTTCAACATTGCAAATAGTGTTGGAATTACTGGAGCACAGCTAGCAGTTCCTGCATTTACCAGAGGTAAAAAACAACTTTCTGCATTGGAAGTAGCAGAAAGCAGAAAGATGTCTCATTTGAGAATCCATTTGGAGTGAGTAATCGGTTGCATTAAAAATAATTTTAAATACTAGAGTCAACATTGCCAATTGAGCATGTGACACTAAAGGGACATGACAATGTCACATCAATAGAAATGATTGTACATGCCAGTTATGCTTTAATAAATTTATGTAATAGTGTTGTGCCATTTGAATAAAATCAAGTTTTTACTGTGTAATGTTTTAACAAATGTTTATATACAATTTCAATTTATTGCTTTGAATACCAATGTGCTGTCAATTCTGATAATATACAGAATTTGAAAAAATTTCTTGCTTTTTCAATGATACTGTTTCACAATGTAAAGTCTTTATAAATCCTCTCAATGTGCAAACATTTTTCTGTCCAAAACTACAAAGTCACAATATTCAACATTACATACAAATATTTGTGTTTGCATTTGGTAGTAATAATTACTGCTTTTGTTAATTGTATAATTACCATTCTGCTTAACTAAATAATTAGACATATTTTCGTCAATATTTTGTTGTTGCTGATACCAAGAACATTTCACTTTCAACCACTCCTTGGCCACAATAGTTGCAGTCTACAAGACCATCAGGTGAGGCACCAATGAATAGATGAGCTGGTAACACATTAAATCCTGTTTCTTTAATAGTGAAATTATGATGTAATTTAGCTTGTTTTTCTTTGTATTTTGATCGTGCATCGTTTTCATGATCACGTCCCCATCTTACTGATGGACTTTTGAATCGATGTTCAAATGGGTAACAAATTTTTTTAATCAGTGACTTTGCTGGATTAATTAAATTTGTGTGACATGCTGCTTTCATATTAGATGCAGTTATGCATCCAGCTCAATACTGATACCAAAGTTTCTGTTTGTATTGCTTTATTGTCATGGCACTTATGTTTTTTACCTGGTCTTCTGTATGTTGCAACTGTTGAAATAGCTTGCAACAGTATTCTTCCAGCTCAGGCCACTCCAGATCAACAAGAGATGGATTGAAAAGATTTCCAAACATCAAAGAAAAATATATATCCTCACTTGGAACAAAACAATTTGAAAATCTTGGTGTAACAGCCAAAATGCAAGCTTGTGTATTATATTTTGCTACATCTGACAAAAATGAATCCAGCTCACTGTCAGTCATAGGTGTTACCTTCATGTTTCTCTTTTTGCATAAACTTCGGTTAACATTTAAACCAGTCATGCAGTTAAACTTTGAGACTGATGAACTAAAATCTATTTAACTTTAATGGACAAGTAACAAGAACTCTTGAATGTGGAGGCAACCACTCATTTGCTCTGGCAAGGGTGAACTTTCGATAATGATGGACCACGATCATCATCGATCCCTCCCTTTTATTGGGGGGTCATTTTCATATTTTTCTATTGTCCTTTATCAGTAAAGTAAATCTCCACATCCAATAACAATTTTGTTGTTAAGTTCCTGGTGATACATTTGATGTGTCACTTTACACAAGGAAGTAAGTCCATAAGAAAAGTTATAATCATATCTTCTATGTTTTTTTTTCTTTCGAAAAAAATTTTTTTTGTCAAGTCCGGGCTCTCACACACTTTTTGATATGTGTATAATTTTCACTAATAATTTTATTATTATTTATGATTCAATAAAAAATTGTATTATATATCTGATATATGATCAAAATATGTGATTAAGTTAATCATAATAAATTTATTTATTTTCTAAACTTCTCTCTCTCTCTAACCTTAAAATATACAGAAGGTGTACATAAAATGATGATACACACACAGATCAGGAGCAGGTTCAGTGGTCCAAAGTGATTAATATTTAATTATACTTATGTGAGGGCCCGGATTTAAGATTCGAATAGTTATATTCATTTTTATTCATTCATTTACCGTTTTGTTTCAAAATCAAACCGATTTTTTTAAAAGTTAGAGTTAACACAAAAAGGGAAAAACAACCGACAAATTTTCTCATAAAAATCGCTCATAAAAACTCCGTTCCCATGACAATACTTCCCTGTAGAAGATGAGTTAACTGTTGTGTCATAAGTTTGTCACTTCGCCCATCATTGGTCAAAGAAGATCATCACCTGTGACGTACATGGGGGACATCTCGAAAACAGAGCCCCCATATAAAAGACAAGTGTGATGACGACACAGGGGGAAAAAAAGTTATTGTTCTGTACTGTGTGTGTGTGTGTGTGGATTACCTGCCTCTCGTCCATCCTCGATAGAACTATTCTACGATTTGCGAACTTACGTCGACTCACGAACTATTTTAACGAGCCTGGGATTCGGACTCCAAGATCGTCCTGAAATCACCATCCTGTATAACTAGAGGTATTTATCCTACACGCGATGATGTGTAAGCACTCTCTCGAATATTCGAACCTCGCGGGTAGGGTCGCGACTATTTTATACTTTGCCGTTACTTTATGAACTATACGGATTGAACCCAAGAGGGATTTGTATTCCAATTATTAACTATGTATAAATGTACGGAATAAACGGGTATTTTGTTAACGAATTTGGATTGGTGTGCGTTTCTTCCGACATTTTCCACTCCATACTGAACCCGAAGTCCTCGACGAGATCGCTCGTGATAATTCCCCATCCATCCGCGTATCTATCCGCGATAAATTGATAGATTGGTGTCAGATCCTGACAGGTGAAAGAATCTAACGATCCTTTCTCCTAACCCT